TCATGGTCCAAAGGGAATTTGCATCATGTGTAAGCTCTCGCATGCATCGTATTTTAAGTTTTGCAGGTAATCCAGGAAGTAACCGTTCTTCAAACGGAAGCAATCTTCGCTCCGATTTCCGTTCATAACGTTCACATCCTGCAATTGTTTCAAACATAACTAACCACCATCAATTACTCGTTTTTTTAACTCTATGACCATTCAGATATTTTCTCTATAACACATCCGTAATGTTTCAGATTCACATTGAAGACTCCACATAAATTCGTCTGATACTGTCCTACCCAAACGAACCCTTTCCAAAACATACGACCATTCCTATAACAACTCCAGGTTTCGTTCACCGTTGGATCCAGAACTACACATGGCCTGATTCTCGTAACACTAGGGATATGTAGGCAACTCAGGAACCAGGGTTCGACCCCTATTTGTTTTTAAAATTATATCCTCCTCCACTCAATTCGGCCAAAATTGGTCATCATTTCTTTAGCCGACAACTCTTTCTTCATTCCCGGGTAAAGAGGAGCAGTTGTTGATACCTAATTTTGCCCTCATATTTTCTCAAACAATATATATACTCTCAAAATAGCATTTTTTCATCATTATTTAGTTTACAAACCTATACAAGTATTTTTCATAATTTTCCATAATTTTTAAAGGCTCTAAACTAATTTCCTTCTACATTTTTATTATATAAATATCTAATAATTATCCTTTAAATTATTTTAGGATGACTTAATCATCCAAACTTATTATTTACACCAACATGTATGTTTTATAATATCTTACTTCATTTTTCTATAATGACATTTGCATTTTTAGGCTAATTGCATATTTTTGAAATAATAGCCTACATTCATGTATAATTACATTATTTGTGCTAAAATAGCTTTTTTATATTTTTATAATATTGAGTTATTATTGCTAATCATTTTAGTGCGGTCTCTCTCGGGAAAGATGGATCAATTTCTCTTCTTTCTTTTTGATTTCTATTCTCGAAAGCGTGTAGACAGAAGGCCCTTTTTTCGGACTGTCTTGTTTTCAGGCCTCCACGGCCGTCCGGGGTTCTCCATTCTCAAAAAGCTTCAACTTTCCCACGTGTGCGCAAGCTTGCGAATAGTTTCTACGATCATTCTATGTAATTTATTAAACCGGTTTATGCTTGTAGCTACCCCTGGGGAGAATACGTGTAGGCGAGAGGTGTAAGCACCGCGAGGTCTGAAGCCAGATCGTACTAAAGACAATGAAAAAATTTCGAAAATGAGATATTTATAAAAAATAAAGTGCATAAATAATATTTTTATTTATTTATTAAGCATTTTTCATAAATTATTTTGATAATTTTAGGTATTTAAATAACAACCCAATTTTTTAATCAATTTCGGACCAAATGAATGGCCCAAACACTCAAATACCTAGCTCAATTACCCCAACCCAAAGCCAAACGACCCATGATCAATACCCGGTCGCGACCCGCTTATAAACAACCTGCCCCATTTAATTTCTTATCTCGGTCGTTGATCTCTTAAGATCAACGGCCACCATCCCTTTCCCCCTTTTTAATTAACCTAACCCCAGAAACCCTACCCCATTTCATAGAGACCGTCGCCCCTATTCTCTCTGTCACTCCTTTCTTCTTCAACCAAACCCTAATCGCCGCCCCCCCTAAAACCTTCTCCTAATCCTAATGAATATGGGATTCGGTTGCCATTTCTTTCCATATCCAACCCCTTTTTGGTACTGGGTGTTCTCCTATGGTATTACCTAAGTGCTTGCCACTCTTCCGAAATCGAACCAAAATGGTTCAAATCTCTGATTTTGAACGCTATTCTGTTTTAAACAGGTAAAATTGCATAAAAATTGAAGAAAACTATAAATGGTCTAAAATATTAAAAATTAAATACCTATGGGGCTTACGCCCCGTGCCTCGGGGCTTACGCCTCACTGCAGCATATGTAAAACGCCTCGCCTTACGCCCGCGCTTTTTACATTGCTTGCCACCATCTCTACTACTCAACCCTAAGGTATTTTTAGTCCGAATCTATTTCATTAAATGCACATCTCTACGTATGGGGGTCGTTTCGATAATATTACTTCCTCCGTTTCATATTAAATAAGGTACTTTCCTTTTTAGTCTGTTCCAAAATAAATGACACATTTCTAAATTTGGAAATAATTCAATTTTAAACTCCTCATTTTACCCATTTTACCCTTAATGAGAAGCTTTTATAACTACACAAAACTCATGGCCCCACAAAGCTTTACCCCTTAAGCTTTTAAAACCACAAATTTTAAAAGTTTTTTTTACCTTAAACTCCGTGCCGAGTCAAACTACCTCATTTAATTTAAAACGAGGGAGTATTAATTTTGGGATAAAATTTCAAGCCCAGCCTTAAAAAGTTCCTTTTGTGTCAATCTCCTAAAAAATTGGCAACTATAGCCTACTGAAAAATTTTCAATCCTAAATCTAACAGCAAAGTGCAAATATCACACCGTCGTATATATCCCTATCACCGCCGCGAGTTCACCGGAACCCCATTTTTAGTAACCCATGGCATTAGAGAGACACAATAATAGTTGGTGAAAAGGACTCATCTCTGTCGTTGATTGTATACCATTAAATATCGTTAAAGCTTGGTTTAGATTTTTAGATCAGCTTATTTGTACTTGTTTCGATTAGGCGATATCGAATTTTGTTGGAAATCTCTTAAGGAGCTTGAATATCAATTTTTGAGGTGTTTGGAGATAATTTAAGACAGATTTGAGCTGATTTTCCGACAGACAACTCGAGAGTGAAGATGGCTCCATCCGTATATCCTCCCATATATCTATGTACATATCACCAATAAGTTACATATATTGACACCAGATAGCTAATAAATTTATATCACAACAATAATGTGTATATCATAAATTTTTTGTGTGTATATCAAAACATATATTAAATTTTTATTTTCCTTCTTCCTATATCTAAAATATAAAAATATAAATATAGTTGTTTAAAATTTATTGTTGTCTCTATATATATTATATAATATCCAATAAAATATATATTTTAATATATGTGTATTATATAAATATAATATACTAATTCTATAAGTATTTTGTATAGCGAATGCAATTAGTTTCGATCGACCGTTTGTTTCTTAAAATAGGAAGGACCCATCCCAACCCAACCCAATACCTCATACATACATACATACATACATACATATATATATATATATATATATATATATATATATATATATATATATATATATATATATATATATATATATATTAAAATAATACTAAAAATGAATCCTTACCCCTACAAAATCTTAGTTTGGAATGTATGAGATTCTAACAAAAAAAAAGAAAAGAAATAAAAGGTATAATTAGGGAGCACTTGAAACAAAAATGCCATCAAATTGAATGAACACTTGAAAAGAAAAATAAAAGGTAGAAGTATCATGTTTTGAAGGATTCATTTTTGGTATTATTTTAATTTATATATATGCGTATTTGGTCGGGTGGGTATTATTTATTAGACAAAAAATAAAAAAAATTGTGAAATAAGAAAATACTACCAGAAAATTGTGTTTTTCGGTCACTATGATTTTTATGTGAGTTAGTAAAAGTTATATGATTTTTGTATGAAAAAATAAAATTATATGAAAAAAGTCATAGTTATATGACCATTTATGAAATTTACCCCAAACATGATTAGAAAATCAACAGTGATACCAAAATGTCCTATTGCTATTGCTGTCATCCCCCCATTTTTATATATGGAAAACTTACACAAATGTCCCAAATAAATCTCAACTTACCAACCTCTAGCCATTAATCATAGACTTACCAAAACTAGCCAATAAAAATTAAAAAAATCATATAATAGGGGTTATTTCTCTCAAAGAATCACATGCAAAAATCACCTTGCATATTTTTAAGCGTGATTAGCAACACTAGATACAAGACGGAAAGGAAATTTTTATGGATGAGTAGCAAATAAGGTGATGAAATACAAAAAATATATACAATATTCCAAAAATCTAAACAAAAAAGGAACTTTTTCAATGGGTATAGTTGAAATTCATTGAAAATATATAGATAAGTCAATATACAAAATTTGAAGAAGATTAGAGGTGATTTGGACTGATTTTGTATCAAAATTCGTAATTAAATCGAGTTCAAAAAAGTCTTCTGTGACACATGTATCACGCATGTATCTCACACACAGGTATACATAGAATTACATGTGATACACAATAGATACAAATATGATACATATGTGATACACAAATAATACGCAGTGTGATACACATATCATTTTTTTTCATGTTCAGTTTTTACCGAATTTTTAATTCAAACCACCTCAAAACTTCACCAAATCATCCCAAAACTGAGATTCAAGCTCCTCAAGTTGTGCCCAATCTATTCTAATAACACCCACTCAAAACAAAGCAAAAATTTGATATATTTTTGCTACAAATAGCTAATTGGCTAATTTGGCTAATGTTAATAATATTTTATCAATTGGCCAATTTTTATAATGAGCAACCTATAAATAGACATAACTGGTAATTTCCCTTTTACATACTCATTTTGTGAGTTTGTTGAGCCCAAGATGCCCAACATTCACTTTGATATAGTATTGGTAATCACACAATTGGTCATTTTGATCGGTATCCTTACTGCCGCATAATTAAGACTCTGTACGTAACCTTCATCCATTTTACCCATCTTATTGGAATTTTGTGTTACATTTTCATCTAACATAACATTTTGCAATAACATTAGGCCTAGATATCCTAAAAAATATAATTATACAGAAGCGTTATTTAATTGTATAAAAGGTAACCAAGAATACACCTTCTAGTCAACATTAGATGAAAACGTACAAAGTGAAGTACTACAAAACATTAATTTTGTTTTATCACTATTAGGCACAAGAACCAATTTAGTTGGACTAGGTCATAGAATAAAATGGAAAATGACATCTCTGGAAAATATGAAAGACTCAATGAAGCAATAATTCCATCATAACTCATTGGAGTTCGAGCAAAGTAACATACGCTACTCATTTAATTTTCCTGGCATGTGATGCTCAGCAGAAGCAAAACTGGACTAATCCCTTAGAATTAGAAAGAATGAAAGAATAACAAATAAGGAAATAAATCGTGGCAGCGCACTTTAATACTCCTGGTATTTTTGCACCACCAAATAAGAATTTACCAATTTTGAAACTGAAATCCTTCCTTATTGCAAAAAGGTATATTGGCATCGTAAAAAGAACATGGCATCCACTAAATAACAATGGTTTCATCTCCTACCACTTTATTTTTATATTTTATCCAGAACATGAATTATTTTTTCGGGTTACCTCTATGTTTTTCCATAGTAAACTGGGACTCATCATTTCCATGCAACAGCATCAATCTCATCTCTGGCTGACTTATATAGCTCAAGCCTTTTGGCTATGGTCTCTCTCTTTGCCATGAGAGAGGGATCCTCATCCAGCATTTTCCCCAGCTGCTCCTTCTGTACATACATTTAGAGAATATAACTTACGTATTTTCTTTCTTGGAAATGTCAAATATTTATCATTTTCTCTACACTAGCAAAACCCCCCTTCCCCTCGTTTTCTCACACAAAATATATAGGATTCAGCAAAGTAATATCTATAACCCCCACCTTGATCTGTTCAGATACTAAAAGATCTTAACAGATTGATAGATAAATAATGAAGAAATCAGAGCTCTTGCTCTATTGGTTTTAGTTTTTCTCTATTGTTTTATTCTGTATCCATCATCCATATGCATTAGCATCTCTTAATCTGAATATTCTATCACATTTATTGAGCAGTGAAGCATCAAACGTTGTTCATAATAGAGACAGGATCATTTCAGGGTTTGACTTGATTTTCTTACCATATTTGGATTTTACCTTTTCTTGAAGGAAGATCAAAGAGTTTATCATAATTCATTTTTGCTTTTCCTAAAAGGCTACCATATTTGACTAATCCTTTTCTTGGAGGAAATTTTTTGTAGTTCTATAAGTTGAAGATCTTTTCTTCTCATACAATTACACAATAGCATCCACAATGTAGTCTTTAAGAGAGTCTTGTTTAGGGGGAGAATTAATTCTCTATTGATTTAGGTCACTTGACCAAACCATATTAATTTATTTTGTCTCTTGTAGTAGATATTTCCTTGTTGTCCCTTTTGTCATCGTCCCAACAGATCGAACAGAACTCCATGAGGAGAAAGAGGAAACATTGAATAAAAGAGTGTATTGCTATGATGATTAGATATCATAAAACTTTACTTATCCATTTTTGCTACAAAAGTCTCCGAGGAAACAAAAATTGAGGAAACAAGTGAACAATCTCGAATACTTTACCTCTCTCCTTCCGATTTGAGCATAGAACTGATTTAATAATGACCTCTTTGCTTCTCTGACTTGACAAAAGACAACAGCCTTAGGAATAGTATTCCTCAATGTTTCACAGACCATATTAATATAAGCAGAGACATTTGAACCTGTTGCAGATGAAGCAATATAGTTTAGACACTGTATGTCTTAAATCAGTTTTTCTACTTTCGTAAGAATGGAACAGATATGTTTCACTAAAGTATCCTACTGGGTGGAAACTACAAAGAAGTCTGCCATCTTTGAATAGAAAACGCGAGCAATATACTATTTACCAATTCCCCGAATATGATTATATGTTCCAGTTCTACTAAAAAGTATCTTATGTGGTGGACTTCACAGAGAAGTGTGTGATCTTATTTTCACTTCAGGAAATGAAAAGGGCAAAGCAATCTGATGATACTTACCAATTCTCCTTAGATGATTATCTGAATAACGGTCAACATTTGGTGTTGCTGCTTGTGCCTGGTTTTGGGGGGTCTTTTCTGGTTCAGTTTGAAGCTTCCTAAAGAATTCAACTGTCAGGTAAGAAGACTCCATCTCCACCAGCCGTAAAACTGTCTTTCGACTTTCATTACGAAATTTCTCAAGAGCATCATTTGCTGCCGCTGCTATATCAGATTGAAGTGTCGGAAAACGTTTTAGTTCCTGCATAGGGATATTCTAGGTTAGAACTATTACATTTGGGCCTCTTATATAGAAGCATTTATGAATGATGGATAGGCAAGAACTGATCATAAAAGAGTTATTCTTTTTACTTTTTGGCCAAGTAATAGTATACCCATCTATGGCCAGGGCTAGATAAGCATGACTCCTTTTCCCTTCAAAGATCATAGCTTTAGTTAGGAAGAAACTTCCCTTTAAGTTCTTAGTACATAAACAAGATGTGAATGCACATGATATTAACAAATAGATGGTAATGATTTCTGAATATTCTGTATCACTAAGAAAATATCAGGGGAGGAAACATAGAACCAACACTGTATTCTTCTTCTCAACAAAATTTTCTGACCCTATGCACTAGCACTACTCATTGATGAACCTCGACTAGCTTTTGTCAGCAAAGAATTCTTTCATCCTCTTCACAAATCTCAGACAGAAATCCAATGTCTGGTGACTGCACAAATTCCTATAATCATACTTCAAAATCTTCCCTAGTTAAGAATTAAAAGACAAAGAAAGAAATATATACCTTAAAGCACTACTACATAAATCCTCGAAGGACAACTAGGATAACAATTCAAATCCAACTCCTTATCTGATATCTTCTCGATGAATTGATGATGCATGTGAACATTTTACAACTTATTATGATACAAATGGACAAGTACTAGTATGTTAAAAAATATTAGTAGATATAATTACTATAGTTTCAAACTAATATTGCAGCAGACCGAAACGTATATTAATCCTTTTGGATTCAGTTGAGAGCCATAAAAATGAAATAGCAGGAAATCTGAAACATAAGCCAGCAGAAATAGCTACAGTTTTTCGGTTAAATATTTGAAGAATTATCAAAAGGATCAGCTCCAGTTTCCTATTGTTAAACAAGCAAACATGTGGGAAGAACAACATAATTCCACTCATCAGAGCAAGGCTTACAGAAGACTGCTTTACCTGGGTTTCTACGATTGACTTCCTCACAAGTTCTTTCAGAATGGAATGCACCTGCAAAATAGAAAAAAAAGCAGTTATCTTGGAAGAAGTAAAACTCTACTGTATGGGTCAAAATCGGACTTAGGAAATCAGCCGTGGGAAGGTCGTTACGTGAGAAGACTGTTCTGATTTGGGCGGCAAAGCCGAGGTCGACCGAAGCCCAACAACGAGCAGTCGCTGAGCAAGCCGTTGAAGCTGAAGTCGAATAGCGAGGAGTAGGAATAACGGCTAGTGCAGTCTCGGTACTAAAGATGGGAATATTCTCTTGAATATTCCCTTTGTTGTACTTTTTTTAGGGTTTTTAGAGTACATCTCATATAAATAGAAAAAGAGAGACAGAGGAAAGGGGCACGTGAGATTCATTCTGAAAAAACTATTATAAGAAGTTAACCCTTGAGAAAAAATACAAAGTTCACCTTTCCGTAGTGATAGATTTTATCGATTATTCTTCCTTTCCACTCACGTGATCCAAGAAAGCATTGTTCATTTTCTTATCTACTGCCATATTTCATTGTCAGAAGGAAGAATCTTCCACATCATTTGATATCTGGGTGAATTGTTCTTCCTATTTACATTTATTGCTACTTTCCATATCTATTGCTCATCATTCATTCTTCATTTATTCTCCAAAGTGCGCATTTAATGATAGAATACACGACTCCGAGCACTAAGTAAATGGTATCACTTAAACTTTTAGCTAGATCTAAGAATTATTATGCTTGACTAGGATTCACCTTTCACCTCAGTTATCTTTTAATTAGTTTAACAAAGAGTATTATACTTTTTGGTCAAACATCTACCATGATACGTGCTAGATCCAAAGGCTTCATGAGATCCAAACCTAAAATAGTCGTAGTTGATAAAAATACAGAAGAATAGTAATTTAAATACTTCAACATTCATAAGTAAGACTGCAAAAGACATATATACTTAAGCATATTGAACTAAATATGTATCATCTTCTGTAAAGAGACATATTATATGTGTGTCTGTGTGGGCGTTTGAGATTACCTTCTATTTTTTCTCCTTTTTAATCTACATTACCTCATACTGTTTGAACTATCTAATTGATAAAATCAAAGCTTTCTGATTTCCACAAAGCAGGATTTTGATGAAACTTAGCTTAATGTCTACCACAGATATATAACACTTGAACAAGACAAACATATTAAACAAGAATCAAAATTAAGAACTTTACTGCATCAACTGAGGCTTCAGCGGGGCCTTTGAAGAAGCCAAGGGATCCATCAATTAGCCTTCTGTACCCTTGCTCAGGAGCAATTAAGTGAGGTTGGTATCCATCTGCCTCAGAAATAACCTTTTTGACATTACTCGTTGAAAGATGACGATCAAATGGAAGCTTCTTAAGAGCATCTGGTAGCTGATGGTCAAAGACACGATATATTCTATCGCCACCTGGCCTCCTGAGATCAAATAAAGTATAGCTAGTAACCCTTTTATAAGAAAATAGAACATTTTACAATCATATAATATAATAGTAAAGTGAAATAGAGTTCTCCTGGTCCCTTGAACTCAGATCAGTGTAACTTCTTCTAATAAGTTCAGCGTGTCAGCTCATGATAGAACAAGATTCAATCAATCAACTAGGAATGGAGAAGAAGCAAAAGAATTTAATCACTGTACTATGGCTCATAGAAGGAAAATGATGTTAAGACCTGACTCTTGAAGTTTCATATGGGTATCAAACTAGTATAAAAGGTGGCAGCATTCATTTTAGAGTTTTAGCAGGCTCAAATCTGACAGCAAGCTTGTAACTGATGTCTGTGCATGTTTGCGTAACTGCTCTCGTTGTCAAGAATATACGTTCTAGAAGAGCTTATTTTCCACACATCAACGGTAATGAGGAGGAAAATGCTTATATGCATACATGATAAGCATTCATGTACTAACATGTCTAATTCATGAGTTGAGACAAGTTACTTGAACATCTTCAAGATAACAATGAGGATAGTTGGGTGCTACCAACTAGAATCTCGTTACACTTCCACAGTGAAGAGATAAGGTAAACAAACTACCAACTGGAATCTCGTTACACCTCAAAATTAACCATTTCCATGGACAGAATGAATGAATGAAAAGAAATACTAGCATTCTGTGATTCTATGTTATGAAGTTCTAACTGTTAAGCATTACCCTCCTTCCAGGTGTTCTCTAAATATTCGATCGAATGCACGGCACATTTCCAAAATTGTGTACAGTTGTGCCTGTAGAAAGGCGAAATTACTTCAAGTTAATAATAAAGAAATTCAGCTCCCAATTACCATTAGTTCTCAGATTTAATCATATCCTGTAATTACCCCTCCATCTACACCAACAGGTCGGCCTATTCGGTCCAACTCAGAGTTTAGCTCATCAATTGTCTTATTTATTAGAGCAATAATGCTTGGTATTCTCTGTCTAATCACAGTCTCCAAGTGCTGAAATTTCAAAAGGAAAAAGGCGAAAGGTTAATAATGGTAATTCAGGGAATTCTTAACCCAAAAGGAAATATTTGAAAGCCAAAAAGGAAAACCAACCTTAGATAGAAGTTTGGCAAGATATTCAGCTCCCATTTTATGAGCAAGATGTCCATATTCAGGACTGGATTCGAAATATTCCTGCTCCTTCCGGCGAGCGGCCATCATATCTACATTCTTGTTGATATCAGCCTGTGAACGATTGACAATTCCAACCCATGGATGTTGAAGCTTGTATGATCGACCCTCAAGTACCTTAAACATCAATAAAACTAAAAATAAGTAAAGAATATAGTAGGCAATACGTATTGCAAGGATCACAAACTAGTGTAATTCAAGCAACTTCTGGAAAAGGATGGATCATACATCCAAGGCATTGGTTCCCTTATCCATCAGATCAAGTTTTGTTAAAACTCCAAATGTTCTTTCACCTGAAATATGAACAGAATATAAAGTACAATCAGAAAATTCAGTATCAGACACCCAATTTTAGCATGACCTATTGGAAGTGCGGAATTAGCATATCCCACCGTAATACCTGAAGGATCGACTTCTCTTGCAAGCTTTATTGCATCAGAAGTTGCAATATCTTGATTGGCTGGAGAAATAGCCAATATGATGCAATTGGGCTAGTACAAAAAGCACATAAAGTTTAAACATGTTATAGATAGAACATGATAACTCGTTCTTGTTAGTAGCTTCAAAGTGTAGTTCGGCAAACAAGAATATGGAAATAAGAAAAACACTCTTTCATCAATATCATGCAACTTCACCACTCTCTATCCCTGAAGATAAAGCCCACATGTTCTTTAACATTCCAGAGAAGTAGCTTACGCTGACACAGATGAAGAAATATTTGAGACAAAGGTAGGATGCTTCAAGAGGAGGTCTATATATTATTTCTACCATGAAAGACTATATCAATGCAGTGGTGATCTTCTCATTTACAGGCAGACATTCAATATCCAATAGCCCTTTCCAAGTAATATGACTTTTATGCATTGTAATTCGAAGAGATATTGGAGATCAATCAGTAAGCGAGTGGGAATTTTACTTATCCCAAAAAAAAAGGAAAAAGAAAAGAGAGTCTGAATCTTACCTCCACATGCTATTGCCCTAAAAGCTCAGTTTAGAAAAGCAAACATGTATACATTGTTCAAGACAAACTTTAAAGATACTTGTGGGTGCTTAAGTTGTGGTAGGAACAACAGAGCAGATCCCAAAGAAGATAGATGGATGAAAAAGGAGTTTGGAAAGGGTTGGGTGGGGTGGGTGGGTGGGTGGGTGGGGGTGTGTATAACCTAACAGCATCTGAACACACCTATTCCTGATAACATTATTAACAAGATCCAGATTTAACCGTTTTTGTGGTTAAAGAGTCCCAATCAGACAAGATAATGAGGTTACAATCACAACGGTAACTGTGGCAGTATGTTCCTCTACAACTTGCTGTTTGTTAAGTTAGCGAGGTTCTTTAGCGCATATGAGAGAGCACCTCAAATGGTATTCCTTTCAGGAGGAGACTAGGAGAATTTACATGAACTTAATCAGTGATAAGGACAATACACTTTAAATATACTCCCACTGGTAAAAATAAATGGAACACTAACATAGTTTGCTTTATAATACACTGATCTTTGAGAGATGAGCTCTTAGAATAACATATTCTTTCATGAAGAGCACATATCAGCAGAAATGAAGGCTTTACAGGGTCTAACACTAGTTGAGAGGCTTGCAACAATACTTGCTGTTGATTGTCTTGTGCAAAGTTATAGGAGAGCATATAAGTTGTTTGGACAGTAAGAGCATCAGAGTATATTTCATTATTTTGGCAGCAATTTGTAAGTGTTTCTCACACTTTTCTAGCTGAAAAACACAAGTGAGGATAAGTTGTTTGGACAGTAAGAGCAACAGAGTATATTTCATTATTTTCGCTGCAATAAGTAAGAAATTTGGGCAGGTCTTGTTTCTCTCAGTTTTCTGGCTGAGAGACAAAGTGAGGTTAATCATATCCTTTAGTAAACATAATGCAAAATTTGAAACATCACATCACTACAGAATGTCCAATTTAGCCATCAATCTTATGCAAGGGCTTGCCCAAGACATAGATGATGTTGATTGTCTGGTGCAAAGTAATAGGAGATTGTTCGAGTGACAGTAAGTGCCTACATGTATTCTGCTGTTCTGGTAGCAATCAGTAAGAAATCTGGACAAGTCATAGTTTTCCCACTTTTCTAACTTCGGAAAAACCTACAGTTCGGTGAAGCTGTATTTCATTAATTTTTGTGGCAACCAAATAGAAACTTGGACAAATCTGTTTCTCACTTTTCTAGCTGAGAAACAACCTGCATTTCTTGCAGCTATATTGTTATATTATGAGAAGAAAAGTGAGGCTATGTTGCCATTTAATAAGTATAATGCTAATAAAATATCATATAAATTCCAGACGTGCCCTTGTTAGTCATCAACAATGTGAATCTCAGTTCGCATGAAGATATCACATATACCTGCCTTCATTATCATAAAGATGTTGATAATTTGAGCTTTAAATCTATTTTCCCACCTTTGCTCTAGATCTTGATGTTCTTAAGTCCACATGAATTCTTTTTTGTCACCCTATACCTATAAGTAAAGCAGTAAAAAATATATTGTATTTCCTATGTAAATGATCACATTAAGACTTTCATACTGATTGACGTATATTTAAATGGTAGATGTACAAAGGTAATACATGAGTAAATTGCCAACTCCACAAACTTAAACTGTTAGTACAAAGCGAAACGTAGTTCAATAAAAAGTAATTCTGTATCTTTCAAGTAGTTAGTTATTCAAGCTTGAAGGTAGTCTTACTTTTTCCACATAAGAACGGACCATCATTTCAATATCCTCAACAATGCTCTCTGGTTGTCCCTCTGCATAATTCAAGATTTATCATATCAATTCCGCCAACAGCTAAGTAATACAGCACCACAGGAAGACTGGCTCCTTTTCTATACCTATAGGAAAGTAGTGATTTCGTGCTCACCTACAGCAACCTTTGTCAACCCAGGAAGATCAATGAGTGTTAAATCTACCACTGTAAGACAAAACATGCACCTGATAGTCATTAACTTGAAACAGTAACTGTATCAATGTGGCATAAATAAAGCACTAAATCTAAAGAACTTTTGGTCAGGACCTCAAAGTTAACCGGCGTAAAACACAAACTATCTTCTATCTGGTGGATTATGGCTGGTCCATTAATGCATTTAATATTCGCCATAAGTTCTTTCTCTATCAACAACAAACTAGGATACATTATATAGTATTATACCCATGCAAAATGCCTAGCTTCACTTAAGAGTTGCTGATAGGTCATAAAGAGCTGAATGGATATATGTTAAACTGATGTAATGAGATTGTCAGATAAAACCAAAGTAGAGATGATGCTTTATGATAGTTGACAGACAAGAATCCTCAAAGATTTTGTTAGGAAATGTGTCATAGTAAGATGGTCAATTTAGACCATAGCCATATTTCAAGAATTGAACAAGTGCAATCAACATAAGCAAGATTTGATAAACTGGTAAGGATGCAGAAGACATACCATTAGGAGAATAAATGCTCAGGTGAATTGGAACATTAGAAATTTGCTTGGTCTTCCCTGTAATGCGGTCTGTCTCATCTGCTATCTCTTGACGTACCGCAGCTGCATAAACAAACATTATGTTGTAAATAGTGAAAAGCTCACATTTGAATGGATGATTGCATTATTCTCGCACATAAATGTTAATGTCAACTCAAAATTCCGTGCTGCTTTTTAAAGGAAAGTTTGATGGGTGGAAACTTTGTAAACAATGGAAGCAGTTGACATCTCTAAGTCATCATGTGAACAGAAATCAGAGATGGGAGGAAGTGGTCATGACATAGAATGCGAGGACAATCAATCTCCAGTTCTAATTTTAGGAAAGAAAATTATCATTGTAACATGCTTTTACGTGTATCTGGAGGACTTGATCTAACATATGCCTAAATGAAATAATCTTTTGACGAACTACAGTAGTGGCCAGGATACAAGCCTACTCAAACGTCTCTCTAACATTTCACACCAAGTTGCTCAAAGTTTTCCAAAAAGGAGTCAGTTATGTCTTTCTTATTAGAAGATCTCAAAAGATTCATTTCAAGTTAAAGTAGGGAACTCATGAACTGACGTACATATGTAGCATATGGAGCGTACAAACCTAGTAAAAAGTTTCAATTATCATGCAAACACACATCAACTACACCAAAACTGAAAGACCAGCGGTTAAAGAAAGTAAGTTTCTTATAATATCAAAACTCACCAAAGTCAGGATACTTTTTCTTTGGAGCATGCAGAAACTCCGCATATTCAGCCCCTCCCTCAGTCTTATGCAATTGAAGTACCAATGGCCTCCTTGTGACGATGCCTTTCAAATTTCAAAAGACGAGGCAACAGAAAACCAAATTAGATGAAGTATAAACTCAAAGAGTAATTAGGAGAAAAGAGAAATGACTCGATAGAAATGTGCTTAACTGCTAACTTCAAATCATACAAAGACAATTGCAACAAACACTCTTTATTCTCAAAAAGCAAAAAAGTAAAGAGATATATGAGAGAAGATCAATAATTTGGTTAGGGACTTGTATCTCAATGAGCGGATAATTGTGAGATTCAAAGAACCTCTAGTTTTAGATAACCTCTAATCTTACGAGACATATTATTTAGTAATGGAATGAAATTGGTCCAAAATAGAGAAAAATGGATATATAGGATTCATATAGCTGACGCCAACTAGTTTGGAATTGAGAGCAGTTGAATAACCTAATAATCAAATAAAGTACCTACCCTAGATTTAAAAGACATCAATAACTGCTCTATCACTTCTTCACTATGAAAATAGAGACTTTTGGATCATCACCTAGAAGTAATACCGTGTGCTACTTAAATCAGTGTTCAGCATTACACTTCTCTCATCAATAATCATGAATCAGCCTTTCCACACATAAAAATGCAATCCAAAGTTTTTTAAAAATATAAAAAATTACCTGATCCACGTGGCAGGAAATCTCTACCCACGACGCTTTCCAGTACAGATGATTTTCCAGAGCTCTGATTGATTATCACAACACAAAATCAGAAAATGAAACGTTCCAAACAAAAATAAATGCATGTAATACTATTTTAATGTAGAGATTCATATTGCGGACTCCAACTAGTCAGAGATTCAGAGTTATTTGATTTATTGATTCGCTGTTTAATAATGTTGAACATAACGAAGACGAAAAAATTGAAAATGAATGATTTAAATATATGTGACCCCTATTTTTGGGATCGAGACGTAGTTGTTTATGATTAACGTAGGAATACTAGCCTGACCACCGACGACGGCGACAGTAGGAAGAGCTTCCCAGAGGGACATTCCTTCACCACCATGATCTCCTAAGATAGTACAGGCACGTTGTATTCTGTTCACTAATCCGATCAAGCTTTCTAGGGTCGCCATTACTATGCACTTTTATGGGATTTTGGTTTATTTTTCAGAGTGATGATTAATATTGAGGAATTTTTGGGATTTGAAAAAAAAAATTGCGAAATTTTGGGATTTGAAAATGGGGTGGAATGAATGCGTTTTTTATCTGAAAGAGTGATTGCGAAGACGAGGTGACGATGGAAGATAACGAGAATAACGGTTTAGTTGTTTGCATTTTCTTTTTTTAGGACTGTTTGTATTAGCTAATAGTGAAATGCTACACTTCTTATAATGTTTATCGGTCCGTTCGGTTCATTTCTGTTTCATTTTATCAATTTTGTGGTTCAATTTTTATGTGACAATTTGGACAAAACATGATTTTCTTAAAAATAACTTGAGTTGACCAAGGTCAATATTTTATATAAACGACCCCGGATCAGTATTTTGACGATCCTGATAGGCTCGTATCGTGATTTTGGATTTGGACGTATGCCCGAAATTGAATTCGGAAGTCCTAACTTAATTTGACTTGTTTTGCCGAAAGCTAGAAAATTGAAGGTTTGAAAATTTCCTAGGTTTGACCGTAGGTTGACTCTGTGGTTATCGGGTTCAGATTTTGGTTCCGGGACTTGGTTCAGATCCCTTTTGTTATTTGAATCTTATTTGAAACTCGTATGCAAAACTTGGTGCAAATCGGAGTTGGAGGGTGTTTGGCTAAGCTTATAAGCTGGTCAAACTGGCTTATAAGCACTTTTTGGCTTATCTACGCGTTTGGTAAAATTAAAAGTGCTTATAAGTTAAGTGCTTATAAGCCAAAAATAAGCCAAAAGCCATAAGTTGGTCTCCCCCAACTTATCAAATTTCAGCTTATAAGCACTTTAAGTTTGACCAAAATATTAACTATTCTATCTCTAAAATACTTCTTTTTAAAACAAAACTCTTCGTATATCCAATTCTTCAGCTGCATATTATTAATTTCAGCATTTTTATCCAAACACGTAACTGCTTATTTTTTAAATCAGCTTCATCACTTAAAAGTGCTTTTCAGCACCTAATCCTTATCAGCTACTCTAAATCAGCTAAGCCAAACGGGCTCTTGGTTTGATAGGATTCGGACGCCTGGTTGTGATTTTAGAAGTTCTTGAGTTTTCTTTGAAATTTCATGCATTTTGATATCTGATTCGTAGTTCTAGGTGTTATTTTGGTATTTTGATCGTGCGAGCGAGTTCGTATGATGTTATTACACTTGTGTGCATGTTTGGTTTTGAGCCCGAGTGGCTCATGTGAGTTTTGGATGAGCTGTAGACCATTACAGACTTAGAAGTTGCTGGTTTCAGTTGTTTTCTGATGTCTGGTGTTTTATGCTTCGCGATCGCGAAAGGAAGATTAGGATTGGGGTGGAGTTACTCTTTGCGAATGCGAGAAGCTGGTCGCGAACACGATGCGGAGGGGGCTTACCCTTCGCGGTCATGCAAACCCTACAACGAGAAACTGAGCTCGTGCACGCGCGAGGGCCGCAGACAAGCACACCCAAAAATTCTGTCCGAAGTTGGATTTGATAGATTCGCCTCATGCAAACCCTACATCGTGTAAATGATTTCTCAAATCGTTTCTGAAGGGAGACAATACCTTTGGAGGTAAGAATACGCTAAGAGCAAGGAGAAAAATTCAACTACGAGTTTTTCCTTTCTTCTTTCTATTTTTCATATTGGTTATGAATTTTAGTATTGAAATTTTACATACTATTATGAGTAGCAAATTTCGTATCTAGGATTTTGATGGCACGTTTTGTAGGATAAATTCTTGTTACGTTTTTATATAATTGAGCCAAGATAAATTCTTGTTACGTTACTATATAATTGAACCAGTTGAAATATTTCGCTACTTGTTCAACTACGTACTTATTTCAATTGATTGAATGATTGTCGATTAACTGTGCCTATTTATTATGTCGAGAGAGAATTCATATTTAGGTAGTTGTTGAACTATGTCACTCCCTAGGTATATGAGAGATCAATACGACAGGTTTAAAAGCAAGATTCGTGATAACAAAACTCTGATGTGGTCATAGTGATATGTGAAATTACCAGTTAGCAAAGTTCGAGAGAATATATCTAGTAAATTACTGAGATTGCTCGAGAGAGAATTACGGTAAGTTGAATGGTCATGATCAATAGAGAATAAATCGGGGAGATTATAGATAACATTGTGAGAAGGAGTCCGGTAATTGGGGAAATCATAACTCTAGACCTCCTTAATCTTGTCTCCAGCTTCATCCTCTTTAGTTGATAATTTAACAGCTTTAATATTTTTTAGTTAAGTAGCTAGAAATAGAAATCTTAACTTTTATTATTTAGAATTTTATTCTAACTTGTCTTCTTAGTGATAGTGAACAATTGTAGCTAAACTTTAGTTCTTTGTAGAATTCGATTATGGACTCTAAAATCGGATTATATTTGCAACGATTGCTTAGTCCTTTTTATAAGGTATAGTTGAGCGAGATCAGATATATAATATTGAAATTATAAAATAATTGAGAACAATTTTCAAGCATATATAATGTATGTATATTATAAAATATACCTCTAATAATAATTGTTTTTTATATAACATGGATGGAATATATTTTTAAAAAGCTTTTATTCTTTTTCATCAATTCTATAAATTATATTTTGAGTTTATATTGTAAGTGTTAAAATTACTAATACGAAAAAATTATTCCAATTAATTTTCTTACTGCGCTACATTATTTTATTATTTCAACATTAGATATGTTTGAAAAAGTATTTTGCACTTTATTACTTTATAATTAAAATTTATTTGTTCTATAGGTAAGTTCATAATACAGATTAAAAAGAGTAAAAAAAAACTTATAATATAGGTAAAAGAAAAAAGACAAAGAAATTTTAAGGGTAAATTAAGTATTTTATAATCAAAAGTTTGAGAAACCTAGTACTACAAGCATAATTAAGTGACTTTATTGTATTTTTAAAATATTCTACTCCAATTTATCATGTTCAATAGTATCTTTCGTCTTTTCTAATCAAACCTCCACCTTGGAATGACTTCAAAATGCAACTAACAATCACATTCATGCGCCAAAGCTGATACTAACATACCAAAATTACAAATTGCTCCCTCCGTTCATTTTTACTTGGCATGTATAATAAAAATAGATTTTTAATTTTACTTGTCACTTTCACACATATTAAGAGAAGATAATTTTTTTTCCAGTTATACCCACGGTATTTATTACTCATTTTAAATTATTTTCTCAAACCCAATAAAATATATATCAGTTATAATATGTGTATCATAGTACATTATGCACTTTATTTATTATTTCTTAAAGGAGTGTTAAAAGTCAAAATACGCCAAGTAAAAGTGAGAGTATTAAGTTGTTGAACTGTCTGTTCCGATGTCATATATACTGAAATATACAATCGTATAAAAAGACGTATATAATAATGTACGACTTAAAGAATTACTAAAGTCAACGCTATTACCATTTTGTGCAATGTTCTTGATCTGAATATAAAGAAAGACTGATCAAGTCCGCTTCTGTCCTCTCCTCTTCTTCTCCTTTTCTTGTGTGACAAACCAAAAAACAAGTAATATTCTGATAGAGAGACGCTAAGATGTTTTGCAAAGAAGCCACTGAAGCTTTAGAATTGATGAAAGATCAATGGAGATTGTCCTTGACAGATGCAATATTGGATGATATCAATTTCCTCATTATGGAGCTCAAGTTTCTGGACATTTTCCTCAGGCTGCAGAGCTTTACTACTGACAGCAACTTACTGGATGTTTCCGAACACGTCCGAGCTATGGTTAGCGTTGTAGGATCGGACCTCAAAAGTCTATTCTCCGCAGGAATGGTGTCACCTGATCAAAAATTTGATCTCACTTTGTCTGAGGTGCAAGAAAAGATCCGGATTTGTAAGTCGGAAATCAAAGCTCAATACTCTTATCCTCAGGTAGTAAATCTTTCTGATGCTACTCCCACGTCTATAGCAAAACTCATTGGTGATGTAATAGAGACTATAAAATATGTGGTGAGCACCCCTTTGACTTCTTCCTTATCTATTAGTCCACAACTTCAGGATCAACTCTTTTGCTCATTGGGTTCACCACTAACTCTCTGTTACATGCTTGCTTTACAAGACTCTAGCCAAATGACTTTCTTCACTCATGCTATAGCTGTCACTTGTCATGCAGCAATGATTATCTTCTTGCATTTTCCTGAGCATAACAAGGAAACTGATATCAATTCCTTGCTTACTGATTTCCTATTGAAGAGAATTTTTCCCATTCAGCCATGTGTGCGCCGTATCTATGTTGAAGTCCTCCAATCTTTTATGTCCGGACCACAATTAACCTGGCGTCATGCTGTCCTAGCAGAAATGGAAACAATGTTTACCCTTTTTCTCAAATTCAATCTGCTGATGTTACAATTGTCTTATAAATATGGCTTGATAGTTCCGTTGGAGGATCAAAATCAAATGGACTACTTTTCCGAGATGTTGGACTATTTGGGAACTTATCTTGAGGGTTTGCCACCACAGGGCTTTGGATCTAAGCTTAGAGAAATAAATAATTTGATGGTCAATGCAGCACTTTTCATTTTCTCGTTATATGGTAACGAGGAAGACGTGGCATCTGGAGAAGTAAATCAAGAGGCCGCCCTTGATTTGCCTGGCTTGATTCAGCGTATCAGCGCTTTGACTTACCAAATCATTCAAATGTCATTTCAATCGATTTTACCTAGGATTGATGGACTTGGCTTTGTTGATTTCCTTCTGGTCAACATGAAGGAGTTCCTTAACCAGTCTGCTGATACACTTCCTTCTGCCAAGAGCCAACTTGAAGCTGTGCTGAAGGGTCTTGAATTTTTGCATCCTTTTTTGAGGGATGTTGCACCAGAAAAATGTATTAATCATGATAGACTGCAACATCTTGCCACAGTGGTCATCGGCAAGGCATATGAAGTAGAATATATAGTTGATTGTTTCATGACTAAAGATGTTCCTGGCTGGTATCTTACACCATGGCTTTCGGACCTCATTGTGGAGATTGAGTTTCTTAAGGCAGAGGTCGAAAAGATTAAGGAGGACAAGGTGTGTGACGCACTAACAGACAATTTCACCAATGCCTCCAATGTTGCTACATCATCACAATCGGCCAGTATGCCAAGCACAGCTGAATAAATGGTGGGATTCGAGGACGTGGTGCAAACGTTAAGAAACCAACTTGTTGGAGGAACAACACAACTTGATGTTGTCTCAGTTGTTGGCACTTTTGGACAAGGTAAAACAACAGTTGCCAAAAAGCTATTCTCTGATGAATCAATTGCCTCTCTGTTTGATGTTCATGCAAAATGTCTTCTTCCTGTTGTTTATTTACATAGAGAGTTGTAGGTTGCTATTCTGAATGATGTGGTTGACAAGCAAACTGATCTTAGTGAAGTGCCTGAAGATGAATTAGCTGACAAGTTGCACAACATTTTGTTGCAAAGGAAATACCTTATCCTCATTGATGATGTTCGTGAAACTGTAGTGTTGGACTTTTTAAAGTCGTGCTTTCCGGATGCCAACAATGGAAGCAGAATTATTCTAACAACAGAGTTAGACGAAGTTGCTAATTATGCTACACGTGTTAGTTCTCCCTATCGTCTTCGCTTGTTTTCTGATGAAGAAAGCTGGATGTTGTTACAAAATAAGGTTTTCCTCCGACAAAGTTGCCCAATGTATCTTAGAGATGTTGGACAAAAACTAGTAAAAACCTGCCGCGGGCTACCCCTTGCTGTTGTTATGCTGGACAATGCTCTTGCAAAACTGGCGAAGAATGGGGATCACGTGAACTTCTCTAAAAAGGCGATGAAAGAGTTCAATGAAATTCTGGAGAACCAGAGATCTTCTTATGTTAATGTATCATCACAAATGGCCAGTACTCCAAGGATAACTGAAGAAATAACAGACGAAATGGTAGGTTTCGATGATGTACTGCAAATATTAAGAGATCAACTTGTTAGAGTAACACCAAGAGAGCTTGATATTATCTCGATTGTTGGCACTCTTGGACAAGGTAAAACAACAGTCGCTAACAAACTATTCACTGACGAATTAGTTGTCTCTTTGTTCGATGTTTGTGCAAAATGTTTTGTTCCTGTTGCTTTTGGACGCAGAGAGTTATTAGTTGCTAAATAAGACAACTGATCTTAGTGAAGCGAGAGAAGATGAATTAGCTGATGAATTGCACAAACTTTTATTGCCAAAGAGGTATCTTCTCCTCATTGATAATGTTCATGACCCTGTAGCATGGGATTGTTTGAGGTCGTGCTTTCCGGACGCCAACAATGGAAGCAGAATTCTTCTAACAACTCGTCTAGATGAAGTTGCTACTAAGGCTAGACGTGTTAGTTCACCCCATTATCTGCGCTTGTTTACTTATGAAGAAAACTGGATGCTGTTACAAAATAAGGCGTTCCCACGACAAAGTTGCCCGCCAAATTTTAGACCTCTTGCGGAACAATTAGTCAAAGGGTGTAAAGGGTCGCCTGTTCAAGTTGTTGTGCTGGCCGATGTTCTTGCAAAAATGACGACAAAAGAGTTGGAACTACTGGCAGAAGGGGATAAAGGTGTTCACATGGTCTTCCTTAAAGAGCTGGAGAAAAAGGCCAGGGAAGCTACGTTAGACCAGGCTCGTGGCTCACGACCAAAAAGCTTTAGAAAGGCTTCCCAAGGCCATATATCATCTCAACTGGATTGTACTATAGCTGAAGATATGGTGGGATTCCAGAACGTCTTGCGAACAATAACAAACCTACTTGTTAGAGGAACATCACAAAGAGATGTCATTTCTATTGTTGGAATGGCTGGACAAGGTAAAACAACAATTGCCAACAAACTATTCATTGATGAATCAGTTGTTCCACAATTTGATGTTCGTGCAAAATGTCATGTTTCTCAAGTGTACAACCATCGAGAGGTGTTGGTTTCTATTCTGAGTGATGTGGTCGACAAGCCAACTGATCTTAGTGAAGTGCTTGAAGCTGAATTAGCTGATAAGTTGCGCAAACTATTATTGTCAAAGAGATATCTTATCCTCATTGATGATGTCTGGGAAACTAGAGCATGGGATGAGTTACAGTCATGTTTTCCGGATACCAACAACAGTAGCAGAATTATGCTGACAACCCGGCTAGAGGAGGTTGCTACCTATGCTAGCTGTGTTAGTTCTCTTCATCATCTTCGCTTGTTTTCTGAAGATGAAAGCTGGACGTTGTTACGGAAAAAGGTGTTTCTCCAACAATGTTGCCCACCGGATCTTGAAGGTGTTGGACAGGAAATAGCAAACAAGTGTGGACGGTTACCTCTTTCAATTGTTTTGGTAGCTGGTGTTCTTGAAAGTATGACAAAGAAAGAGCAGTGGGAACAAGTGGCAGATGGTTTAGGTTCACATATTTGTGGCGACTCCAAGCACATCATACAATTCAGTTACAAGAATTTGCCCCATTATCTCAAACCTTGCTTTCTGTATTTTGGAGCATTCTTGGAGGACAAAGAGATTCAGATCTCAAAGTTAATGAAGTTATGGACGGCAGAGGGTTTGGTAGTAAAACAAAAGGAAAGACGCTTGGCTGATATAGCAGAAGATTACTTAGAGGATCTTATTAGAAGAAATATGGTGATGGCCACCAAGAATAGATATCTTAGCAAAGTAAAAGCATGTCGTATCCATGACCTGTTGCTTGAATTTTGCAAGGAAAAGGCAAAGGAGGAGAAATTTCTACTATGGATATATATTCAATTTCTCTTTTTACTTTCTTACTGAATCAATTTTACTTTGTTTTGATTCTGTTTCTTCCTATGGACAGGGATCAAGATGCAAATTCTGCCGAAGTGTTGTCTCGAATGCTTGTACAGCGTCGTATATCCATTTATTCAAAACAACACAATCTTGTTGAAAGGAGTCCATCTTGTTTAATTGTCCATTCCATACTATTCAGGAAGGTTGGTGATGATGTTGTTCCCTCAGTCGGCAATCAGGTCTCATTTGCTTTTCACAGCTTTAAGTGTCTTAGAGTGTTAGATCTGGAGTTTATCACTGTTGATTCTTTCCCAACTGAATTATCTCAACTGAGGTACCTTGCACTTAGAACTTTTGAGGAATCTATTCCATCATCTATAGCCAATCTCCGGAATCTTGAAACACTTATGGTTAAAGGGCTTGGAAATGAACTTTCCTTGCCACACTCACCGTGTAAGATGGTTAAGATGAGACATCTACATTTAGACGACCGTGCCTCCTTCGATTTGCAGAACTTAAAAGTATTCCATGAGGATCCCTCGGAAATAAATCATTTGGAGACTTTTTCTACTCCTGCTTTTTCATCCGGTGAGGATGTGGAGAAGGTATTGAGTAAGACCCCTAATCTTCGAAAACTGAGATGCGTATTTTCAGGATCATGGGGTTATTCTGAGGAACAACAAAAGGACTGCAATCAGTTCCCAAGATTAGAGCACTTAACCAAGCTTGAATCGCTCAAGGTGTTTTGTTTCCACAAGCCAGAGCGATCACCATGTGTATTCAATTTCCCGTCAGATCTTAAGAAGCTGACACTTTGTGGTTTTGGATTGCCATGGAGTGAAATTTCAGCCATCTCAACACTTCCTAACCTTGTGATACTCAAGCTACAATCCGATGCCTTTTGTGGCGAAGAATGGGAAGCAAGTGATGAGCAATTCTCCCAACTAAAAGTGCTGAAGCTAGAAAATATTTCCTTTGCGTGTTGGAGTGTCTCAGAGGATGCTTTCTCTAACCTTGAGCAACTGGTTCTGCATACTTGTGATTGTCTTGTAAAAATCCCTTCTGAATTTGGTTATTTCACTAGCCTAAAATCCATCGAGGTAAAGTCGTGCCAGGAATCTGTTGCAAATTCAGCTAGGAATGTCGAGGGAATTCAGGTTGAAGAAATGCAAAATAATGGCTTCAAGCTTTTTATCTACTAAGTTGATCAAGCAGCATTTCTTAGTCATGTATGCCATTTCCAGATGGCTGCAACTTTCAGGTATGCTCCTTTAAAAATACTAGCTAGTTTTTACTCATTATATTTCTTTAGAATTTGCCCGGAAATATGTATATTCTGTTTACAGTAAGATGAAATGTAAGGATTTGCTTGTGAGCTTTACTCATTATCGAGAAGCCTTACTGCAAACTTACTTCCAGTAAGGCAAGCAGCTCAAAGTGATTTATCAAGAGCAGCAGCAGCAGCAGCCGGTCCCTCATTTATCGAGATTATTAAGAATCTCTTTTGCACTAAACTGGTCTTAATTTTTTGTTTATTATGTGGTCTCTATTACTCTCGTTGATTCCTTCATATAATCTATAAGACCTGATATTGCTGAATATGCATGATTCACATTTGAACATATACTCTTTTGGAGCAAATGTACATTTAAGAAATCCATTTGGCTATCTTCAAGTGAATAACTTCACTCATTATCTTCCTTCTCAGTTGGAAAGTATAAGAATCTTGAGACTCTTGACCTTTCCTTTAATATCAATTTGTTTACAATGCGAGCATCTCAGATGACTTACTTTATACTAGTCTTATTGGTTGATCTTCTCAATTGTGAGGTAAAAAAAAAAAAAACAGAGAACCTGATTGAGCAATGAATCTTCTAGAACTAATGAAATGCTGCAGGAATTTTATCTCAATCCTGTATATACTCACAAAAAGAAGATTAATCTCGTAAGCCTTTTCAAAGTTTGCACTTGAAGTAGAAAATTGAATTTAAAGAGAAATATCAAGAGACTTGTACTGATAACATGTTACAAAATAGTAGAAATTGGCAGCGAAATAACAGAAATTCTAGCAGAATTAGACGGTTCAAGAGAAATACCATTGCATCCTTGGAGTCACTCTAAACTTTCATGTCCAGACGAGGCCATGATAAGCAGGGGCTAAGCTACACTGTTCGTCGTAGGTTCGATCGAACTCAGTAGCTTTTGTTCAGACCCTGTATTTGTATAAGAAATTCAATGAATATGTACAAATTATTATTTCAAAATCCAATAACATAGAAGAATTATAATCCCGAACTCATAAGGTTCAAATCCTAACTCCGCCTCTAATAATAAGGCCTATTTATAGCAAGGGGAGGGGATTTAGGTGTAATGATTGAGTTTACACTTGTCTAGGAGGCCTTCATATCTTACCATTGTACTGAAAAATAACTCAACTATGCCTATATGTTACCCAAAATTATTTTTTTTAATAGGCGGAAAATGCTATACCTGGTCCGAAAAACACAACTATACTAACAAATCATACATGTGGGGAGTTGATTGCTTGATTTAGTTTGTCTAACTTATTCCACATTTTTCTTCTTTTATATACTAATAGCATGTTTAGTCAAGCTTTTTTTTTTTTTTTGGGCCAAAACTGCTTTTTTGGCCAAAAATTGAGGTGTTTGGCCAAGCTTTTGGAAAGAAAAAAAACGCTTTTGAGGAGAAGTAGAAGCGGTTTTTGAGAAGCAGAAAAAAGTAGCTTCTCTCCAAAAGTACTTTTCTGAGAAGCACTTTTGAAAAAAATATATTTAGAAGCAGTTTTCAAAAACTTGGTCAAACACTAATTACTGTTCAAAAGTGTTTTCAAATTAACTAGTTTCTGGGAACGTGCGTTGCACGTTGTCCCCTATCATTATTATAAAAAAATTATTTTTCCCGTCCTGTTTTACTTGCTACGTTTTCCTTTTGCATCCCCTTAAGAAATCACAAGTAAAAAGTGTTTTTTTTGACTAATTACTCTTGTCTCTTTTAACAAATGTACACTCTAATAACATTATTTATTTTCAAGAATAATTAGTATTAACAACAATATAAAAAATAATTAATTTTCAGAAATGACAAGCATTTTTTAGTAACCTTGACTACTAAAAATGATAGAGGAATAATATTCAAAAAGAATTGAGCCATAAATTAAAATAGGAGTATTGCTGACGTGAAAGAGTGAAATTACTAATTAATATCTCTCTTTTACGAGGCGTGTTAAATTCGTGTTCAACCTCAACTAAATATTTTCATCTTTAAGAATGTACTCCTCTTTCATTTCACGACCTCCAATAAATTAGCAAAGATCAGACATGAAAAAAAACATATATCTTCACAAAACCTGCAATATAACACACTAAAGGAAATAAGTAGAGAAAACGGTGAATGGTATTTAAAGTAATTCTTTTGAAACCTATAGTAGTATTTCTACTTATGTAACTCTTCATAGTTTCGATCCCAATGGGATGCCTATGAGTGACCTCTGTAATGCCCCTTAGTACTAAGTGAAAATTTCTGATTTAACCAAAAAAAGGAAAGTAATTCTTTTGATCTTTTAGTCACGTCAGAGAAAGGCCTTTAAATGTCGGTTGGTTTTCTTCATATTCATTACAAGCTAAACATACATGTTATATGATCACATCCAACTATGCCTTATAAAAGATAAAGCGGTCGTTGCAAATATAATCTGGTTTTTAAGTCTGGTGTCGAATCCTCAGGGAACTAACCTATCTATTACAACTCTCAATGATATTATTATCAGCTCAAACAATCTCCAGATGCAAGATTTTTATCAATAGATATTGGGTTTTTGTTTAACTAATTCAAAATGATATTAAAACTAACAATATGCTAAATCAAAGATAATTCAATGGTAAAAAGGTCTAGGGTATTGATTTCCCCAATTGCTAGTTTAGGTCTTCACTCTTTTGCTATAATCTCGCCGTATTACTCTATGAGGATATGAGCTATGGGCTATTGCAATTATCTCTCAATCAACCACAATGATTTACTAGAGCATTCTCTCGAACTACTCTAGCTGATAATTTATGCAGCTCAGAATTATCCCGCCAAAGTTTCGTTATCTCTAACCCCACTTTTAAGTTCAAGTAAAGAATCTCTTCAATTACCCAAAAGTGGTGCTGTTCACCAGCAGTCTAACCTAGTATTCTTTCTCAAGCAACACAAGGCAATTAGACATGATTAATCAAGGGCCCATTCAATTAATCACCATACAAAACATAGTTGAACAATCATATAATAAACCCGGCTCGATTATAACAAAATTGAGTCAAAACTTCATCCAACAATTGGTTCCATCAACCCTAGATTAAATGTTTAGCTACTCATAGCAAAGCAAGATAAAACTACAAAAGTATTCATAATGTGCAATTGAAATAATCAAGAGAAGATAGAAAAACTCTAATGATTGGTTGCTGATCACGCTCAACTGAGTCTCGCAAAAGACTACGCGGGCGTTGCAAATATAATCCGAGTATTATTGCCCAGAGTCGAACCACATGGAATTAACCTATCAATTACTACTATCGGATTCACTAAATTCACACAATCTGTTTTCCCAAACTTTCTGATTCACAATGGTTGATTTTCTAACAAATAAAGACTGAAAGTAACTAATAACTGAAAATTAATTAAACTTGATGTGTAAACAGTAGAAATAAGGTCTAAGGCAATGGTTTCCCCCGTTGGTAATTTCCTTGGTTGTATATGTCTTATAACTACGATTTAGTTGTCTCTAACAATTATGAACGCTCAATCTATCATAATTCTTTCTCAAGTAATTATGATAATCTACTAGACGCACTCTCTCAAGCTACGCTAGCTAATTTCACAATACAGTTCACTTAGATTGCACCCGGGGTTTCGTTATCTCTAACCCAACCCCTAAACCCTCGGTTATGACTCTCGTCTATACTCCGGGAGTGATGTTGTTCATACAATCACCTAAATATGCACTCTCTCTCAAGTAGATACATAATAAATAGGAACGGATAATTGAGGGCCCTTTCAACTAATCCACAATCAAAACATAGATGAACAACTAGAGATTAACAACCAAATCCAATTATATTAATAAAACAACCAAGTCATCCCCAACGGGTTCCACCAAAACCTTAGATTAAGGTTTTTAGCTACTCATGACAATGGGGAAATAAACTACTAAAAGATTCATAATCATAAATTGCAAGAAAAATAAAGAAGAATAAGAGTAATGATGTTTTGGGTGATCTCTCACACTTGTTTTCCTTGCCAAAGTACTCTCTAAAACATTACATGCCTCCCTTGGGCGAGTTCTATTGTTTAAATAGGGTTTTTGGGCTAAGAATTCCGTGTTTTGCACTTCAGTCCCTCAATTTTACGCCTCCTGCCGCGGTCCTACCGCGGTTACGCTAGGACCGCGGCCAAATGACCTCTCTGAATCTGCAATAGCTTCTCGCCGCGGTCCGACCGCGGTTACGCCGGGACCGCGACAGTTCATCTCCAGTTCTGGTTTGTGCATTTCGCATGGTGCACTTGGCGGATATTGTGCGATTGGCCTCTTTTTCCTCCATAATTGATCCCAAAAGTACTCCATAGCCTTCTTTTATTGTATGTAACCTGCAAAGCATGAAAAGCACTAATCAGAGCATTTTGTTATCACTTTTACCATAAAAACTATACAAGAAAGTGGTTCTTTTAGGGCTTAATCATAGTTCAATTCACCTATTATCAACACCCCACACTTAAATCTTTGCTCGTCCTCGAGCAAGTTGAACCACACTTCTAGGCCTAATCGTTCGATGCATTACCCAGTTTTATGTCACACCCGCCATTATGAAAGAACAACCTAAGCAGTGCAACAGCCACACCTCAGATGAAGACTCTAATGCCATGCCACACACGTGCTTACTCTAGTTACTCTAAACAGAGGTGAAAACTTGCTTTTTCTTCCCGAGTCACATGCCCTCACATCACATTTTTGAGAGAAGTTCCACACATATAAAATCAAGCACAAGGAACTATAGATAGAAAGAATTCACTCACTCTCAGCAAAGAACATTCACATGCCACACAGATACACCATAAGCTTGCCCTTAGTGTAATACTCTACTAATCGAGTTGTTTTAGTCTAAGATCAAGAGGTCTTTATTTGGTTGTAATGTAGGCTAAGGGACGGGTAGGATATATTTGGATATAGTGACTAACCTCCCTAAGCACTTTTAATACATTCTTCCTTTATTCCGATTTCCATGTTCAGCCCAGTCATTCTTCCACACTTGTTTCATAAGCTACCCCCACTTCCCTAGGTGCAACTGGCTTTTCTTGCCATTCACTATTTTAGGACCACCTATTTGCAAGGTCCTTCTTCTATATTTCAATTTTTTTTTCAACTACCATTGCACCATTCAAGTATTTTCCTGATTTCCTTTTCCTACTCCCTTATCACCCCACACTTTGACTTTTACATGATCTTTAACAATTCAAGTGCTTCTAGGAGGCAAAGGGTCAAACAGTCAAGCTATTCAACACATGGATGTAGGTTATTACAAGGTTATCAAAGAAACAGGCTTAGGCTCAAAGGGGTTAACTATGGTGATACGTACAGGTGGATTCATAATTAGACCGGCTACACAAAGAAATGCCTCAATCATCTCTAAGACCAAACA